GAGAGAGACAGGAAATAAGCAATAAATAAATAGGTGAATTATATAATAGGTAAAAACAGGTGAGGGAGGCGGCTGGCTGGCCCAGTCAGAAAAGCATGCGACTCCTGATCTTTGGGTTGTGTGTTCAAGTCCCACGTTGGGCATAGAGATCATTAAAAAACAAACAACACAACAACAACAAACAAGTAAGGGAACTGAGATGGTCTGGGGCAGGAAGTGGGCTGAAAGTTATAAAAGGGTTGTCAGGGTCACCTCATCAAGGAGGTGACATTGGAGCAAAGATTTGAAGGAGGTAAGGTACTTGTTGGAAATGCATCCAGGTAAATTTTTATTTAGGAATGAGGGAAATAATAGCATTTTTAGGCATATAAAGATTGTGGGTGTTTACTATTCACAGACACTCACTGACATAACTTAAAATGAAGATTTTTTTTTGCAAGAAGGAAACTGAACTCAAAAGGAGAAAAAGGCAAAAAGAAATGGTGAGCAAAAGCTTTGCAAAAAGCGAATGTGTACTAGCTGTTAACATATAAAGGGGAGGTTAAAGAATGAAACCCAAATACCTTACAACCATAACATAGAAACGTGGATGGTGTGATGGGAAGGACTGGAGTTCAAGCACCGAAAACTCCATGTATTGTTTGGAAGAATGATGTAGTTACTTATTAACTCTAAACTTATTAAAGCATGCATGTTGATATTTTAAATCAATACTAAAAGAGACAGTCAAAACAAAAACATACACCTGAAAACTAAAAATACAACCCTAAATATCCAATGAGTTCATGAGAAAATCTTCATGGAAATCATGAAAAAGTTAAACCTCAATGACAATAAAATACGTGTAAAAACATGTGACATGCATCTAAAATGGAATCATGAAGACAGTGCATAGTGGGTTTTTTTTAATGTTTTTTTAAAATATGCCAAATTAATGCATAAAGATTTCCATTTTTATTTTATTGATTGATTGATTTTTAAGTAGGCTCCATGCCCAACGTGGGGCTTGAACTCACGACCCTGAGATCAAGAGTCACATGTTCTACAGGCTGAGCCAGCCCGGTGTCCCACGAGTTCCATTTATGAAGCTAAAAAAACAGGAGGACAAACCTAAGAGGACAGTGGGAAAAAGTAATAGAGAAGAGCAGGAGTTAATAAAAACACACACAAAAATTGGAAATGATCAATAAAACCAAAAGCTGGTTCTTAGGAAGAAATTAATTAACAGGCATACCTCTATGAAGACTGACCTATTTAAAACGATGAAAGGTATACATAAATAACATTGAAAAAAAAGATATAGCTATGGATTCAATTTAAAATTAAAGCCACATAGAACAGGTTGGAAACATGGCAGAATAAACATGTTTTCATTTCCACAACATTCTGAAATCACACTAAAATGATAATAGATAATTGTATGGGGCACCTGGCTGGCTCAGTTGGTGGAGGACGTGACTCTTGGTTTTTTTGTTTTTTAACACAAATTCCATGGCAAAGGGAATTAAGGTGGATAATTACCTGACATTAACATAGGAAGAGTATTTTTGATTATTCAGGCCAGTATAATCACAGGGGTCTTCAAAGTGGAAGGGGGAGGCAGAAGAGAGAGTGAAAAAGAGGTAGATGAAGCAGAGTCAGAGAGAGATGCTATGTTGCTGGCTCTGAAGATGGAGGAAGGGGCCATGAGCCCCCAGCAGCTTCAACACCCTGAAAATGGGGCACCTGGGTGGCTCAGTCGGTTAGGCATCTGACTCTTGATCTTGGCTCAGGTCCTGACCTCACCGTTTGTGAGATTGAGCCCTGCGTCGGGGCACGGAGCCTGCTTGGGATTCTCTCTCTCCGTCTCTCTCTCCCCCTCCCCCGCTTACTCTCACTCTCTCTCAAAATAAATAAGTAAACTTAAAAGAAAACTCTGAAAATGACAAAAAAAAAAAACTAGATTCTCTCCTAGAGCCTCCAGTAAGGAACTCAGTCCTGCCTGTACTTCAATTTTAGTCCAGTGAGATCCGTGTTGGGCTTTTTTTTTTTTTTAAGTTTGTTTTGAGAGACAGAGAGAGAGAGAGAGCATGTGTGCACATGCAAGTAAGGGAGTGGCAAAGAGAGAGGGAGAGAATCCCAAGCAGGCTCTACACTGTCAGCACAATGCCCGATGCAGAGCTCAAACTCACCAACTGTGAGATCATGACCAGCCAAAATCAAGAGTCGCACACTTAACCGACTGAGCCACTCAGGTGCCCTGATATCCATGTTGGACTTTTAATTTACAGAACTGTAAGCCAATAAATGTGTGTTATTTTAACCCACTAAATTCGTCGTAATTTGTTACAGCATCAATAGGAAACCAACACAGGGGTGCCTGGGTGGCTCAGTCGGTTAAGCATCCAACTTCAGCTCAGGTCATGGTCTCATTGTTGGTGGGCTCGAGCCCTGTGTCGGGCTCTGTGCTGACAGCTCAGAGCCTGGAGCCTGCTCCGGATCCTGTGTCTCCCTCTCTTTCTGCTCCTCCCCCACTTGCTCTCTGTTTCTTTCTCTGTCTCAACAAGAAATAAACATTAATTTAAAAAATAGGAACTAATATAGTTGGTGTGGGGAAAGTTCAAGTGTTCAGTTTTGGATGTGTTCAGAGAACCTGAGCGTGTTAAAGATCTATGTAGAAGATACCAAATAGGCAGATGGATAAGAGTCTGGAATTCGGGGGAGAGGTATGGGATGCAGATAAAAATTTGGAGTCGTCAGCGAAGAGGGAAAAGCCAAAAGAATGGATGAGGTTAACAAAGAAACAAGTGTAGATAGAGAAGAGGTCTAAGGAGTGAGCCCTGGAACACCCAAGTCTGACAGCTGACATCCAGCCGGTGGTTTCAAGGTAGCGAGCACTCCAAAACACAGGCAGGCTCCAAGATGTAAATGCACAGCTAAGCAGTAGGTCAGAGGCAGATACTTAACACTCGGCTTGTGAGAACAGGCAGGTGCTGGAGACAGGAGTGAGTCACAGATCTCAAATCCAGGGAAACAGTCTTGTCAAGAGGAAATAGGCATAGGCCTGGCAATAGAGGTTGAGAAAAACATAAGGACAGAGTCAGGGCAATATATTTTAGACGTTGGCAAAGATGGGACCTTGGCCCTGAACCAGCTTTCTGCCTTGGGCTTCTACTGCATCCTTAACTTGATTCCTGGCCCCTGTGGGTGTTTGTGTATCTTTCTAGCTTATCATTTTCCCTTCTCTCCCATTTCTCCTCCTTTTTCCTTCATTGCACATAACATACAAATAATATATTCAATTGATTCTGACTTTTTTTTCACGTTTTAACACCTCTGAAATCAGATGAATCGTGTCACATTTTAATTGGCAGCATTTTTTTCCTTCTTGGTATATAAAATAATGATGGTCTTGGGGGCGCCTGGGCGGCTCAGTCGGTTAAGCGTCCGACTTCAGCTCAGGTCACGATCTCACAGTTTGTGAGTTCGAGCCCCGCATCGGGCTTTGTGCTGACAGCTCGGAGCCTGGAGCCTGCTTCGGATTCTGTCTGTCTGTCTGTCTGTCTGTCTCTCTCTCTCTCTCTGCCCCTCCCCCACTTGTGCTCTGTCTCTGTCTCTCAAAAATAAATAAAAATGTAAAAAAAAAAAATAATGGTGGTCTTAGAGTCAATGGTATCTTTGGTTTCATGAAATACAATTGCTCTCTCACTTAGGGAGCATTTCAAATTTTTTAAATTTTGCATTTTTTTTTCAAATTTTGCATTTTTTTTTAAATTTGGAGGGGGCTGAACTTTATTGAAGTTTCACTGACTGAAAATAATATCCGCCAATTTTAAGTGTACAATTAAACGAGTTTACACAAATGCGTGTAGTCATGTAACCATCAGCACAATCATGATAAAGAGCATTTTCATCACTCCAAAATGTTTCCTGGGGTCTCTCTGTGGTCAGTCCTTTCTCCCTACCCCTATCCCCAAGCAATCATTGATCTGCCATCTAGCACTATAGTTTTACCTTTCCTAAAATTTCCGATAAATGAGATTGTACAGCCTGTACTCTCTTTGCGTCTGGGTCTTTTCACTCAGCATAATCATTCTGCGATTCATTCATGTTGACAGACGTTCTCAGTTCATTTTCACTGTTGAGTATTATTTCACTCTGCGGATGTGCCACATTTTGTTTGCTCGTTCGCCAGTTGGCAGACATTTGGATCGTCTCCAGTTTGGGGCTATTATAAAAAGCGAATAATTGACCTTTTTCAAAGCGAGAGAAAGGGTAATCCCATGTAAAGCAAGTGGGTTTTATTTTATTTTCTCCTCATGAAGCATGAGAGAATTCTTTTACTTAAAAAAGGATAAGGGAAACAAATCTCATACATTTTGGTCATATTAGTCCTTTAAATACCAGTGAACGGTGAGTGTTCATTAAGTATCTGTGAATCCTAATCAGGGTAAGGAAAGGAAATTCCAAAGTTGCTCAGAGTACACCTTAGAATGAATAGAAAATACAAGTCTTAAAAAAGAAAACACAAGTCGCTCCCCCAGTGAGATAAACTTTGGATAACATTGGGCTACTTGAGAAAAACGAAGCCTGCAGAACCTATCTTTTGATCTGAAAAACACTAAACTTTCAAGAGTAAAGATTCCACTTACTTACAGATAGGAATACTGACCCATCTGTGGCTCCAGACGCCTGGCTAGGAGGAGCTAGCTGCGTTGTATGCCGGGATTCGTAGTCCTCGAAAGAGTCGTTCTAGCCATGATGGCGGAGTTGCTAATGACGTGCGAAGAGCGGCCCCGAGGGAGTCTGGGCCACCAGGGGATTGGGCTGTGCGGACCTTCAGCCGGCGGGAAGTTAAGACCAGGTGCTAAGACCTTTCTATCAAAGGAAGCCTGGAGCCCTGAAGTCTCGCGAGATCCTGGCCGGGCCCAATGGAACGCGGGGCCTGGTTTATCACTAGGGGCGTTTGTTGGGGGCGGAGCTAGATGGGAGTGGGCCGGGCGTCGTAGGTGCCCGGCGTAGTGGCGTTTAGGCCGAGCTGCGGTTCTCAGGAGCGAAGCCGTGGCCATGAAGGAGGAGAAGGATCACAGGCCTAAAGAGAAACGAGTAACCCTGTTGACTCCCCCGGGGGCCACGGGCAGCAGCGGTGGAGCTTCGGGGGACAGCGCCAAAGGGGAAGATAAGCAGGATCGAAATAAGGAGAAGAAGGAGGCGCTGAGCAAGGTGCCTGGCCGGCTGTTGGCCCGGGAGAGGGCGGGACGGGTCCGCCACCCGCGAGGATGGTTGGGAGTGGGGCCGCCCTCTTTCCCCTCCCAGTCTGCCCCTCTGTTTCTTTACCTGAGTGAAAATCACGTCATCTAGTCTTCACCCACTCGCCCGAGATCGAGGGAGCCCCTGTCGGCCAAGCCCCGGGGTACGAGTGAGGGAAAAGGGAGGGATTCCTAGATGAGAAGGTGGAGATCCGAGCTGTGAGAAGAGTGCAAGAGGGATCGATAGTAAAGAGAATGAGGAATTAGAAGGTTAATGGGGGTGGGGGTGGGGGGGGTGGATTATTAAATAGTGAAGGGGCCATCGGGGGTGGGAGTAGTTTGTGATCAGAGTAGTAATGGAGGCGAGTTGAGCGGGAGTGGGGGGATTCATGGTCGGAGGGGGGGGCGGGGCGG